TTCTTCAACAAGTTTATCCAGTTCGATTTAATTGTGCAATTACTTTGCAGTACAATCATTTGGCTCATATCAGAGGTATTTGTTTCCAAGTTCTGCGGTTGCTCTTGTTAATGTTTGCGACTGGGAGTCGAGCGGGAGGAGCCGGTTCCAAATCAGCGTGGAAGAGCAACTTCTCCTGGAGCTAATTACACGGGGGGAGGAGGCCGTTTTCTCATTTGTTTGACCCAACATCATGATGCAATTTGGTTTTATCACCGACGGAATACTTATAGAGCGGCTGTACGATTTCCTGTAACAAACACGTGTGTTGTGCCATTAGAGTGAGTGATTTCACACAGCAGGTTGCCAGTCGTGCACAAGTTCCCTCATTGCTGGGAAAAAAACAACCGCTAATGGAAATGTTGAGCTAGAAATGCTCAGTTATTTAGCCTTGTTGTGGGTTTATTGCTTTTCCGTGTTGTACCTAAGGATGACATGTAATGCAGATAAATTGTTGAGAGTAAAAGAAACATGCATTTACATAACCTTGGGAATGTTTACATGAAGCAGCCTGAACTGATAAAGGGCTGTTTGTGTTCATAGACATTCACATGGACAGATCCAGTCGCTTGAGTTCTAATGGAGCCACCACATCAAATCCAAAAGTAGATGAACTGGTCATAATTAAATGGGGGGGTTTGAGGCCATACAAAAAAAAAAAAAAAAACATTTTGGGTTCTCCAAAGAACCATTCAGTGAACAGTTCTTAAAAGAACCATTTTGTCTCAATGTGATGAACACTTGAAAGCTCTAAAGAAGCTTTTTCGCTATAAGCAACCTTTTGTGCCATGGAAAATTTCCATGGATGTTAAAGGTTCTTTGTGAAAGCATGGATGCCAAAAACTTTTATTTTTAAGAGTGTGAAGAAAATTTGAATGATCTAAAAGAACCATTTTGTCTCAATGTGATGAACACTTGAAAGCTCTAAAGAAGCTTTTTCGCTATAAGCAACCTTTTGTGCCATGGAAAATTTCCATGGATGTTAAAGGTTCTTTGTGAAAGCATGGATGCAAAAACTTTTATTTTTAAGAGTGTGAAGAAAATTTTAATGATCTAAAGCAGTGGTTCCCAACGCTAGTCCTGGAGGCACCCCAACACTGCACATTTTGCATGTCTCCTTTCTCTGACACACCAGTTTCAGATCTTGGAGTCTCTACTAATGAGCTGATGACCTGAATCAGGTGTGTTTGATTAAGGAGACATGCAAAACTTGCAATGTTGGGGTGCCTCCAGGACCAGGGTTGGGAACCACTTATCTAAAGGACCTTTATCCACTAAAAATAACCTTTTGTGAAATGGAAGGTTTCCATTTGATATTTAAGGTTCTTCATGGAACCACTGATGGCATTAAAGAATCTTTACTTTTAAGAAAGTGAAGAACATTTGAATAATCTAAAGAACCTTTCTCCACTAAAAAGAACCTTTTGTGGAATGGAAAGGTTCCATTTGATATTTAAGGTTCTTTATTGAAGCGTTGATGGCATTAATGAACCTTTATTTTCAAGTGTGAAGAAAACTTTTATTTTTTAAACTTTAAAGAAACTTTTGTGGAATAGAAAGGTTCTGTGGATGTTAAAGGTTTTTCATGGAACCATAGATGCCAATATTTTTAAGAGTGTTTAGTTCATCACGAAACCCAGAGTTGCTCTTATAAAGTTCAAGTGGGCCCACCAAGTTCCTCGGGCTTCAATACTAGACACGCAAGCATAGGAGTCTACCTCTGTGGAGAAGCATATTATTGTAAAATCCCAAGTGCCCAGGGACATCCATTAAGTAAATTCAAAGCTAACCCACCACGTCTCCAGCCAGCTTGACCCTCTTTGGATCCTCCGAGTTAAATAATACAAGCTATTTCAACACAGGAGATCAAGAAGATATATGTGCCCAGCAAGAAGCCTAGTTTCGCGTAAAGTACCCTGCATTGGAGTGATATTAGATAAATGAGATCAAAATTACATTACTGAGCTCTTTATGGAGCTGTGAAAAAAACATCGCCCACAGGTATGTTGCTTGGCCTCGTAATTCGCTCCAGAATCGTTACCATCTGGTCTGACATTGGGGAATGCTTCTCTCTTAAAAACCTCAAAGCAAATGATACAAGGAAAATGCCATGTTCATAACCTGGTTTAGTGTTGCTGGACGCTTACACACACACACACACACACACACACACAAGTGCTCACGGGGCTCTCAGGAATAGGGAGGCTGCGATAATGCTGCTTTCTGGCATTTGGGTTGGAGGGATCTTTGTGGAGCCAAGACTATTTTCTGTATTAGATGTTGCTGCTCATTTTAATTCAAATAAGCAATGGCTGCTCTACTGTCAGCTCATATCCATGTATGAGTGAGCCTGTAATTATTTTACAGTAAATCCTCTTGAAATCTTCAAGATGTGAAAGTAAGACCACCAGAGACACCCACACACCCAAAGGATGGCTAAAAAGTATGAGTTAATATATGAACAAATTAATAAATGAACGAATCAATCAGCAAAAGAGCTAAAGTTGCTCTCCTGCAATGAGCATCATACATGATGATGATTATATGAGAAAAACATTGCTCACAGCTGTATTTCATTGTAAAAAGAATAATATTGATAAAACGTAACAAGACATATATATATATTTATATGCAAATATTTTAAATATAAATATATAAGCAACATTTTTGTCTTAACTGATACCACCGAAAATGATGCTGTTTTAAATATTATTTGATTCATATTTTATTTTATTTATAAAGTATAATATTGATATAAAATAACACACACACATATACAAATATTTAACAAATTCCACCGTTTTCCTTAACTGATGCTACCAAATTGATTATCAATTTGAAATACATACAGTACATGAATGGATAGATTAAAAGTATTGTTTATTGTAATTCAGTTTCAAAACATTTGTATATTACTTTTTACAATACAAATCTTTACAAATGGATTCATAAAACATTAGGAAAAAAGGGGGAAAAAATTAAAATGAAAATAGTGGATTTACACCTAACAAGCATGCCAAATAAATGGAATAATTACCTAATTGCATAGAAAAAAAACTTGTATTATTTTCATAACCACAAGTAAGAACACGACAGAAACCTTTTTTTCTCTCTCTCTAGTTTAATGAATGTACTCTATGACTCTGTTTCAAAACTTAGTGAGCTGGATACACAACCGTGTAAATGTTTGGGTAATATTTATTTATTTATTTAGTCATTCATTTGGGAAAGAGATTAATACTTCTATTCAGCAAGGATGCATTAAATTGATCAAAAGTCACAGACAAAATAAGATTTCAAATAAATGCTGTTCTTTTGAAACTTTTGTTCATCAAAGAATCCTGAAAAAATGTATCATGGCTTCCACAGAAACATATCTGCCAACTTATTTATTTATTTTTTAAATCTATATGTTAATACAGAATTTAAAAATAACATTTAATATCATTTAAAATGAGCATTTTAATGGACAGTTATTTTATTGGTAAATGGTTCTTGATGGCAGGAGTTGTTGTGGTCACATCTCAAAAAGAAAAGCTAAATCTAACACATTCCTGAAGCCGGGGTCTTCACTAAAGAGCATCGCTGACCTGTCAGCACACATAAGGAGCCACTGAGCGAGCAGTGAGAGCACCTGAGGGTTCGCCAGGAGCCGCCCGCCGTCCCGTCGCCCCCGCTCCCCGCCACCGTACGAGAAAAAGCTGTTGTTAATAAAACTTTAAAAGACGAGGATGAAAAGGAGGAGAAATTGAGCAGCCCGGGCTGTATTATTTCTTCTCTGTGAGGGAGCTGCCCTCTTGCTGGGCAGGCCGGCAGTGTCAACCCTTTGGGGAGGGAGGCGTGAGGACGGGACAGGGATGAGACGGGTATTTGACCATGGCCGCCCCCGGGGCAAAGCAAATCATTTGCTTCTCAGAGGCTTCAAAGGGAGGCAATTACACTTAAGTAACCGTATGAATAGATTGTCTTACCGGGGAGCATTGAGAGAGGAAAAACAGAGAAGTGCTTTGAGGAAGATACCACACCTCATCCAAACATGTTGCGCCAAACGAGCCCAGCAACTGTCTGTAATTTCCCAGTCGATGGAATAATGAACTATTAAGAGCGCCATTCGCATTCAGCAGGCCGCTGTGCGAGAAAACGCTACCCACAAAGTCAGTCGCCGTTGACTTCGAGAGAGAGAGAGATTATTAGAGAGTCCTTTGAGTCTTGCCTCACCTGCGGAGAGAGGACTATAGAGCTCAGTGGGCAAATAGAGATCACAGCAGCTGCCAGAGCTGTTAGCCAAAGCGCCCTATGGAGAGGAAGAAAAGAGGATGCGAGGCCTTTCAGTTCACCGGCACTTAGTAACAGCAGCCTTGTGGAAAAGCTTGCGGAATGGGAAAGACAAATCCCCGTGCAACTAAATATTAGAGCTCTCTTTCTTACGCCATTATATATGGGGCTGATAGCGGACGTCAAATGGGACAAAACAAAAGCGGCGGCTAATATATAGCCGTGTGGACAGACGTGTGGACATACAGGACACAGAAATGAATGTCTCAGTGGGGAAAATCTATTAGAATGCAGATATCAGCATAAAGGGTCATGCATGGCAGATGCTGAGTGGAAAAACTTTAGAAACGCTCGTGGACAAAGGAAATTTGTAGTGTGAGAACAGTCTGACAAGCCACTTCAGCATAATGAGCTAATTATGTTTGTTTGGAGTCTGAAGGTGCTTGGTAGGTTGCTATGAATAATAATTACCTAATCAAATAGAGAAAAACAGTCAAAGTATTTTTATAAACAACACAAGTGCAAGTCATTGTGTGTCATTTTTCAGTTTCATGGATGTACTTATTGGCTCAGTTTCAAAACTTTGCAGACTAGTTTTTTTTATAAATTAATACTTTTTATTCAGCAAGAATTAATTGAATTGATCACAAATGACATAAATACTCTTCTTTATAGTAAACAAAGAATCCTGAAAAAAAAAGTATCAAGTTGTCCACAAAAATATTAAGTAGCAAAACAATTTTCAACATTGATAATAAAATGAAATGATGGGAGTAATGGTTGCTAAAAATTCAGCTTTGCCATCACAGGAATAAATTATGTATCAAAAACATTCAAATAGAAAACAGTTATTTTAATCTATAATAATATTTCACAATAATAGTTTTATTGTATTTTTATTAAATAAATGCCGCTTTGGTGAGCAAAATAGACGTCTTTCAAAAATATTGAAGAAAAATATATTTGGTGTAGAAACTATTTTGAATCAGAAATTGCTAATAAATTTTGCAAATAACCATAAAGAAAAAGCTAGTAATGCATCGAAGAAAAAAGGAAACTTAAATAGTATTTTTTTGGTAAAAAAAAATAATAATTCAATCATTTTTTTTTTTTATTTACAATTTTGAAAAATATTTTTTTACAGTGTAGCATTAGTGTGTGTGTGTATAAAAAAAAAGAAAACTTAAAAATTTTTTTTTGGTAAAAAAAAAAAAAAAATTAAATCTTTTTTTTTTTTTTTTTTACAATTTTGAAAATTACAGTGTTACAGTGTAGCATTAGTGTGTGTGTGTATATATATATATATATATATATATATATATATATATATATATATATATATATACACACACACACTACTGCCTTAAACATCATATTATATGCCCCAAAATATATTTTACATTTTCTTTTATGTCATTAGTATGCTCATGATGCCTCACAAGACTGACTATGTATAGAGTTCAGATTAGAAAATATGACCCTGTTCTTTGTTTACCCACACAGTAGCACAACTTTAGCCACTCTGCCACTTCATCAATGTGGATGTGAAAGCAGTCATCAATGGTCTAATCTCTTAATCAATTCCTCATAGCTACTGCTAATTACCCAACTCTTGATAACAGACCTCAGAAGAGCCTTTGAAATGCAACAAGTCAATTACCTGTAAGGTGGATTAATGTAAGCTTACTGGCCCTGTGATCTTCCTCTCGACCCTCCCCTCCCTCTCCTCCTCATTCTCCTCACACAGCAAGACACACATCCCTGTAAGGCATTACCCACGCATCTCATTTACATCGCCCTGCAGACAATTATCACACTCAGAAAAGTGCAATTGTGTTTTCTACCTCATTAAGCAATAGAACAACAAAGCCCCGAGTTCCCTCTTCCCTTCGCTCAACTTTACCCTCTTTTTCCCGCACACCTTCTGTCCGAGAGAGGTGGAAGAAAAAAAGTCAACCACGGAGGGAAAGCCTTTTGAGACATAAGTGCATATATTGCATTTAATTTCCAATTTATTTAATTTCCAACCTCCTGTTTTTTTAATTATTCAATTAAAATAATTTTATTAAAATACTTTTATAAATATATTAATGCATTGTTTAGTATTTATTATTTTTAAATGGTATTATTCATTTTTTATTTATCTTATTCCTAATTCACCAAACTTTTATTAAGAAAAAAACATATTAAATAAAAAATAATAATTTCAATACTTTATCAAATATATTAATATATATATATTTTAGTTATTATTATTGATCATTTTTTGTCATTTATTCTTTATTTGCCTCTTTTAATTACCCCACAGTTTTTCATGTTTAAATTAAAATATTTTTTTTCATTTTTATATGTTTTTATGATGTTTTATCATTTTTAGGATTTATTCTTTGCCTCACTTTTAATTCCCCCAGATTTTTTTTTTTACTTTTAGATTACAATATTTGTTTTTATTTACAATATATTAATATATTTTTAGTTTTTATTATTTGATTCCCCCAGAGGGTTTTAATTATTAAATTAAGATGACTACAGTATTTAAAATATATTCATATTTAATATTTGTATTATAATATTATTTTTATTTATATCAGTTTTTAGTATTTATTTATCTCATTTTTAATTCCCACAAAGATTTGTCCAGATTATTAAATTAAATTAAATTAAATGTATTACTTAATTTAAAATATATTTAGTTTTTATTATATTTATTTATCTTCACATTCATATTTTGCACATATTATTATTTTGTTAACTCTAACTGAGAAAACCCAATACATACAATGTTTAGATGGAGTGGACAGAAAACTTACAGAGAAACTTTATATTTGTCTTTTGTCCAAATCCTAAGAACAACTTTTCTTTTCAACAACAAGGTCTTTGGCCTCAGTAACTAATAAAATAAACTGGGTTCTGGATGGAAGCCGATCTTTCATACTAATCTTGAAGCAACTTCTAACCGACCTGATTCAGAAATCAAACTGTTGACCGAAAAGAAACTACAAAACTGCTCTAGGATCAGCGCAGATACTGTGAAACAGACATCTGCCCAGAGACAGCGGCTCCGACCTCCTGCCTCGTGTCCTGTGAATGTTGTTAAAAGCTCAGCGCTCCCTCTCTATTCTCATTGAGAGAGACCAAAGAGTGTTTATTCAAAGAGTCATTTCAACCCGCCGGCCCCCTGGTGCCTGGCTTTTTCATGGTAAAACTTTCAAATTGTAATCTCAAGAGAACCAAGCACACATATTTGTTCATGCCTGATCTCCCACATAATCAAATGACACCAGATGGCAAGCCGAAGGAGATGCCAGTGGACCTATAAAAAAAGGAAAATAAAATGCCATCATAAGAATACCGAAGAATATAAAAAGTAATTTTATGAGCCCCTAAAAATGCTCAACCCTCAGAAGGTTTCAGATTTTCAGCCCCAAAGCAATTCATCCTACCTCTACTAAAACTTTAACATCAGTAACATTGAACAAAGCTTTTTTAATGAGTGAAACATTCGAAAAACATAAGATGTATCAAATCTCCTCTCATGTTCCACAGGTTTGAGGTTATTCTCAACTCACAAAGATCCACTTTTCTGTCACACCTTCTTTAACAAGACATTCACAAATACTCGCACGTAACGACTTGAAACTGAATTCATATGCAAATCACGTTATTTGACTGGAAAAACACTCTGGATTAGTTCATGATGAAGTCCAATGGGAACGAATGCGCGGAGTGATACTATTGTCAAGTTTTGCGGTCACGTAACCATAACTCAAAATTGATCTATTAGTGGCATGAACTGTGAAGCGTATTAAGATGATTTAGGTCAATTTGTATATTCAGCTGTGCCACAAATAAGCACAGTTTCGTCTTGCAATCTTACGCAAGTCTACAGCCAAAAGAAAAATACCCACTCCAAGACCTTCCAAGTGCTGGAATTCATACAATAGCCCGCGGTTGAGATGTGACCCCAGCAGTTAAAGCGTAATTTAGGCAGCTGCGGGAGTCTTCGTGAGAAATAACAGTGCATCTTTGGCCACTAACTACCTATGAAAGTGTGGAGACATTCCTGGTTAGTATGAGTGACCATGGAGTCGCCACAGTGCGTGCTTGTACACACACACACACATAACTATTCATGGTTGATTGGTGTAAATATAGAACCGTCTCAGTAGCATTCACAAACATAGACACTTGTAGGCTCTGTTCCAAAACCTAATGAGCTGCCTACATAGGCAACATCCTAAATCAGAAAAAAACAGAACCTCATAATCCTACAATAAGTGCATGAGATACCACTCTAAAACAAATTCTGTAGTTTTTACAAAAAAAATTTGGCAGCTGTGGTTTAACTGAATAAAATTTAAATTAAAACTAAATTTTACAGTATAAAACTGTAATTTACAAACAAAAAACTTTGAATGTCAACCAATAAATTCAACAATGCACACTGCTATTAAAATCTGTTTTGTACCTTTAACATACTGACAACCACCATAATAATGCAGGTGGTAAAAGAGAAAGCCACATGAAGAATCAAAGCTCATCACAAGTAGCTTCGCCACAAGCAGAAGTATATACTAATATATAGAAGGTGCACAGAGTCATTCATGCAAACACAAAACACCATCATGGTAACACACATGATACTTAAATAATGCATTAAACTTTCATTAAACAACAGAAGATGCAACATAAAGCCCAAATATACATAACTAATAACAAAAACTTAAAGAAAACATGATTATTTAAACAAAATACTTTCAAATGTAGAGTGTCATGCAGGGAATTCTGGGAATATCAGTTTACAGTTTCTGACTGTAAATTATACATTGATCTGTTATTTTTACTTCTAAAAACTGTAAAATGAACAGCATTTTACTGTAAAATTACATGAAATGTCTGGTTAGATATTTTACAGTTTTTCCCTGTATATAGTACGGGAACTTACTGTTAACCTATTAACAGTTTTTTCCATAGCGTTTTTACAAAATGTTACAGTTAAAATTACACTTATTTTTTACGGTACCCACAGTATACTCTACACATAAAAAGCACAACACACACAAATATTGAGGAACATTTTATATTTAAATATGTGATACTGCCTTAAAGGGGTCATATGACATTGCTAAAAAGAACATTATGGTGTGTATTTGGTGTAATGCAATGTGTTTATGCGGTTTAAGGTTAAAAAAACACATTATTTTCCATATAATGTACATTATTGTTTCTCCTCTATGCCCCGCCTTTCTGAAACACGCCGATTTTTACAAAGCTCATCGGTCTGAAAAAGCGAGGTGTGCTCTGATTGGCCAGCTATCCAGTGCATTGTGATTGGCCAAATGCCTCAAGCGTGTGATGGAAATGTTACGCCCCTTACCATACTGTGATGCCGTGTCCCAGCAGGACGAGACTCAGTCCAGGACATAATTACTGATTATAATGACTTATACTGTCTTTTTACGCGTTGCGTATCGCGCTGCGTAAACATAAAACCATGTCTGCATTTGTGATCGGAGAAACAACAAACAACAAGCCTACTCTACACTGCTCAAAACTCACGTTTGAATCATCAGTGGCAAATTATTTAAATATAAAAAACGTACTTACAGGTTGTGAGTCAGAAGCGCCAGACTGTCCTTGCAAAGTTAGAACTGCCCAACTTTATAGAAACAGCCTTTGTGCCACAGACGCATTAGGCTA